GTTTTTACCTGGACTCTAGCTTCTTACACTAGTGAGAAATACCCATTTATCTTGGTTACCCAGATATTTACTAAACTTAGTTTAATCTAGAACAATGGTAGATGAGGGTAGGAAGATTATATTGTGCCAAACTTTCATGTGGGAAGGACTCATCTGTATGTTGAAAATCAGCATTTAAAATTCTAGATTTCTATATGTGCTTAAATAGCAATTATTATGACTATCAAGAAATGAGCAGTTATTGTAAGATAAGGCTTACCAATCTTTATTTAATTCAGTTTATATTTACACATTTTTCTTGTTTTTATTTTTTATTTTGATAAAGTAGTTTGTCAGATGAAGAAAAAGGTTTATGAACTTCTAATCAGAAACACATGTAAAAACGGTTTAAATTGCAATAGTTTTATTTTTCAACATGATTTCCCCACCCCCTACCTTTTCTGAATATTTTTCTCTCTAGCTGTACAAATTGTACCATTCCTTAGTTATTGCTTCTAATTCTGAATTTCAGTGTAGTTTTATATTAGTTTTCTTCCATCTTAGAAAAGGAAATTTATTCTATTCTAGTTCCAGTTTTCATATATACTGTTTCTGTTGAAAGAACAATATTTGCTCTTCACATGTTTGGCTTTTCATTTCATCCATCTTAGTTATTTGTGTAACCCATGTTATCATGGGTAGATTATAAATTAGGTCAATGCTTTCATTTACTTTAATCATTATTATCTTTTGTGTCACTATGTATATAAAGTCATATGAAGAAATACATTCAAACTTATTTTACTACTAACAGTTATGTAATATCCTTGCCAGACCACTGTCAGAGTATTAGCCTCACTTTTCCAGAACTATAGCCTTGTGTCGGACTAAGCTTAGTAAATAGCTGCATGCCATCAAAAATTGCAACTGCTTCGTAAGTAAGATGAAAGAAACTTTGCTTTGCCATTTAAGCTAATGTGATCTTGGTAGTTTTTGAATCTGACTGACATTGAAAAGAACAGACAATACCTTTTGATTGTTACGAGTTACAATTCAAAATCCAGGAGAAATGCTTTTCAAGTCGGAGTAAATCTCAACAAACAGGTTTGCCTTTTTTTCTTGCCTGAAGTGCTGAGGTGAATGTCATTATTTAACAAATCATTCAAACAAGCATCCTCCTCCTCCTCCTCCTCCTCCACCCACTTTTATTCATTTACTTTTCAGTATTTTATGTTTTGGTTGGTGGCAATTGAGGAGGAGGAAAAGCAAGCAAGAAATATTAACAAAAGCTAAAAGCTGAGAAAAGCTAAAGAGTCAACTGGTTTAGATGATTAAGTATGCCAGTTATCTGCTGTAGTAAATTTCACTTGTATTATGAGTTTGTGACCTTGTGCCAGACTAATGTAAGTTTAGTAAATATGACATCTATAGAAACTAGCATTTACATTCATGTGACATTAGTAATTATTTTAAAATCTTGAAACTGATTTTATTCATATTCAGACTAATGGCTTCAGAGTTTTTCCCTCTGGATTTCTTCGTGTATCTGTTGATCCATATAACCTTTGGGAATTTCCCTTTATTTAATGTACAGATAGATTGTTCCTTTTCCACTGGTTATGTCTAGGAATATCTTGTTCTATTTAGTACTAATCAAGTTGAGATGTAAGTAAACAATATAGCACATGTATGGACTAATAAATAATATTTAATCTCTCCTATTTAACATTACATTTTATTTCACTGCCAATATTTCATTAGTTACTTTCAACCAGTGTACAGTGGCCTAAGAAAAGTTTTTAACCAGGAGAAATAAACTACATTCAATTTCAAAATTTAATTATGTAATCCCTATTCAACATAAACAAACAGTATTTGGAACTAGTATGGAGTAGGTCCTCCATTTGCTACTTTCAGTGCTTGTATTCGATTTTTCATGGATTTGATGAAGTTAACAACAATCATCTGAGCCATATTTTGCCACTCCTTTAACAATGTTTCTTTAAGGGTTGCCACTGACATAATTTTGGTTGTGCGCTCTCTAAATCTTCAGACCAAATTACAGGCTGCCAAAATTCATAATCTTTGCTCTTGAATTCTCCTGCCCAGTTCATACAAAGGTTCCTGGTAACCTCTGAAATCAAGGGCTTCTTTCTTGCAACTCTTCTTTGATAGCGTAGCTTTTTCAGAGTCTTTCTCACCACATATAGCAACATTTCCATGCTGTTGGCGACATCTTTGACGCTCTGACGATGGTTTCTGATGATTTCCTTATTCAGTGCCCTTTTCGTTCACTCGGACATGATGCTTGGTCTTCCTAAACATTGTTCCACACAACAATGGCTTTCTTCATTAAATTTCTTGACAATATTATTAATCGTTTGATGATTAACCTGGAAAAAGCTAACAATTTCTCTATTTGACTTGGCACATTGATGTCATCCTATTATTTGCCCATGTTGAAATTCTCTCATTTCCTTACTTCCACGAACTTTCATTGCAAGATATAAGTCGACTATCATTCATAGAGAGTTGCCTGATACATGGTATTGTCTGAAAAAAAAAAGATGTTATTAAACAAGCCAAAATTGCTGTAATCAAGGGTGGCTAAAACTTATCATAACCCACTGTGGAGCCCTCATTCAAAATGTGATCCTTACATTTTCATCTGCAATGTCTGAAAGATTGCCTAACTACTCTCCGGGGTGTTGTTTATATGTATTTTACTCCTGCTTTTTGTTTCCATGCTTGCAAAATCAAATGCAGCTGTGAGGTCACATGATTCTGCATTTGGAAACTGAGTGGGTCACCACAGGTCAACTTTGCACTTGGCTGTCTTGATATCTGGTGTGAAACCAAATGCAAATTTCATTCTGGCTAAACACTATAAGTTATTTCTCACCCTGTTTTCCACTAAGTCTGTACTACTCGACCCAAGGATTGAACTTACATTGACTATACCACCAAATCCATCTTTAATCCTTTTGCCTAGTGTACCCTGAAAATGATATTAAATTGAAAATAGTAGACAATGCATTTTGATGACACATAAGATATTTTTTTTTCCTTTTCTTTTTTTTCTTGCCAATAAAATGGCTGAAAAAACTCCTTTGTCCTGTATATGAAGATGAGACTTTTCCATAAATTATCTTTCAGCCTTTAATTTTATTTTACTACTGGTTTTATTTTCTCTTGTTTTTTTTATCCCAACAATATGGCTTGATAGACTTCTGATGAGTAATATAGGGAGAAAAGATTTACTCCAACTCCACATGGATGTCAACTGCTACATGGCAACACTCTACTTACCTTGTATAGGTATATACTTACTTGTCATTTATGATGGGTAAGTTGAAAATAATATTAGGGGATAATTCCCATAAGCAATACCTCTCCTTTGGAAGGGAGCTGAAATCATTATGCCAACTCCTAAAGCATTCCCAAAAAGGTAAGTGCCAAGGAAGCAAGAGCAATTTTTAATGGTTTTGCTGAAAGCCCACATTAAAAACTCCGATCTTGTTACATTCTATTTGCAATGTGGTTGTATAAAGAAATACCTATATGGCTACCCCCTTCTGCTAAGTACAACTGTCCCTTCTTTTTAGGGGAGTGTCCAAGAGGAGCAACTGGTGTGGATTAACACAGGAACTGATCTGTCATAGACATTTCTTTAACCATTTTAGTCACAGAAGATTTTATGCTTAAGCAGAGCATAAGTCTCTAGCTATTTTGATATTCTTCCTTTTACAATTGTCATGTTTGATTTATTCCCTAGCAATAATTAAGTATAAAAAGGATGAAAAAACAAAAGCAAACAACACATTCAGTTTTACTTTAATATTTTTTAAAATCATTGAGCATCTTTATCACTTGGGTAACATCTTTACCCTTATATTCTGTTGCTAATAAAAATAACTAACAATAACTTGTCTTATGTGAGTGAATAAAAGAAAGAAAAACTGTACAAGAAATAAAAGTACATTTCTATCCTCACCCTGACTCTTCTCAGATTATTTCACTATTGCATTAATGTTTCCTGTTTTTTTTTTTTTTTTTTTTTTGAGGCAAACTTCAAACTTTTTACCTATTTAACACATAGGCTCAAGGCTCATCCTGGCTTAAATCTTGAATAATTTTATTACATAAACTTGAGTGACATTTTCATTGAAATTTTCAGAAATGAAAAGTTTTTTGTTCTTTTCTTTCAGAAAAGTTACAGATGATTATGAATTACTCCAAAAAGTTCTATACTAATCTAATCATTTGTTTGAATTTTAAATTTGTTTTTTACTGGCATCTTCATCATTCCTAATATCATTGAGTTATTTGTATTTTGTTTGTCACAGTATAATAGTCACTGTATAAATGATCAAATTTGACTTGATTTATTTTCTATTTTCCAGAATAAATATCGAAGACTGTTGGAGGGCCTCTTTTTACTTTTCCTTACTGCTATTGGATTGCTGATGTTGCGAATATTCCTGATGGGAAACAAACCTCCAGAGTTTGCACCTTCTGATAATCCAGCTGCAGATTCCAAAAGTTTTCTGACAAGAACTTTAACATTCCATCACCTTTTGGCTTTGAATTTTGGGCTACTCATCTGTCCTCGAATCCTCAGTTTTGATTGGTCAATGAATTCTATACCTCTTGTGGAAAGTCTCACTGACTCGCGTAATCTCTCTACCATTGCTTTCTACTGTGGACTTGTCTATTTTGCTATTTATATTTTAAAATCCATTCCTCAGATAGCAGACTGCTCTTCGCCAAAGCCTTATTCTAATGGAACCAATTCTCACATTATCAAGGCTCTCAATAATCACAGAGGAAAAATACGTTATTTTGATTCCAACTCTATGAAACAAGATCAATTTCCCACTCACCATCCCAAGATGAACAAGCCTGCTTTTCACTGCCTTGTGATTGCAGTAACTGTGATGATCGTGCCGTTTATTCCGGCCACAAACTTATTTTTTTATGTTGGCTTTGTTATTGCAGAGCGTGTCCTTTATATACCAAGCATGGGCTTCTGCCTATTAGTTGCTAAAGGTGCTAGTGAACTCTACACCCAGAATCATTCCAACCGAATCCGCCAGGGAGTCGTACTACTTAGTGTCCTCTGCCTCTTGGTCTCTTTCAGTGTAAGAACCATACTGAGGAATCAAGACTGGGAGACTGAAGAGAGACTTTATGGCTCAGGAATTATAGTTAACCCTGCAAAAGGTAAACATTGCTTCTTTTTTCTTTTTCCCACTTTTGCTTATTTTTATTTTTATGGAGCTTATTTTAGTCAGTTCATTCTCTCATTATTTATTATATCTTCATTCAATAACTTTCTTCTGGACTAACAACATTCAAGAATTAACAAACTTAGTGAGTCATATTCTTTCTTGTTATCTTGCACTTGTAGCCTTGTGCCAAACTAGGCAAAGCTAATCATTACACTTTGAATAATCCTATCAATACAGCCTGAGTAATATGTGTGAGTTTTGCATGTGTGACCCAAGCTAAATTTATTAAATATCTATGTAGGGTGTTTGTCATAGAGGAACATTTATCATGTGGTGAGCCTGAACTTTAACAAGTCCTCCCTACCTCCATACTTGTGGCAGATAAACTCAGTGAATATGAAGGGCTTCTGAAAAGTTCTCAGCCTAACCTGCTTTCCAAAATCTGACCAAATGGCCAAACAATTTTTTTAATTCCTTCTTGGTCTGGCTAAGAAATATTCAACACCCCTTTGTATCACAAATTGTCATCATTAGTCTGACTTTAGTTCTTTCTTTCTTTCTTTTCTAGTCTGACTTTAGTTCTTTCTTTCTTTCTTTTCTAGTCTGACTTTTCAAAAACCCAAGACAAAAAAAATATTTTTTTTTTTTTTTTTTTTTTCTTTGAAAAAATGTTTTTAATTAATTTGTACAAAAATAAATTTGATTTATTATAAAACCAGTGGAATTGCATGATTGGGTAATTTGTTTTATAAAGAAAAAAAAATTTCTATTATCTTGATTTGTGGACACATGTTGGGGAATTGAATTTTTATTAAAATAAGTTCTGATTGAAAAAACAACAAATTCTATAATCAGGTATTTAAAACAAATATTTTAACATTTGAAGATGAAATCTTCTCATTATTACACATATTTTTCTTGTTGTTTATTAGGTTTTTAGCTGGTCTATTTTTCAGCACTCTAAATTAAAACTTCAGCAAATTTTAAACAAATTAAGTCCATACATTACTTGAGTTTGCATCCAATACTTCAGGGATCCATCATGTTATATTAATGGGCACAATATATATATTAGCAATACACATTGTGTTTTTTTATATATAAATGTGTGTGTGTGTATTTAGGCAGCAAGAATTCATCCTTAGACTGACTGTAGTTCCTGTTTTGTTCTCATACTTTTGATTATCTCAGTCATTATCAAGAAATGAGTGCTGTCAATCTGTTTTATGTTGCTTAATTCTTTATAAACAATGTATGCAAAGAAGTCATTTTGATGCAATCATGTCATAACATTTTATATCTGTAAGAATATTCACTTTTGTAATTGAAAAGACATTTTTGTTTGTGGCTTTTTATAAAATCCTAAAATTATGACTGTTATCAATTAAAAACATTGAAAGGAATTCTACTATTAATGCTGACTTCCTAAATAATGTGTACAACAGTTATTCTGTAAAGTTTTTCTATCAAGGTTTTTTGTTAGTATCTTTCCCTAATGTTTTAGAGAGGAAAAGGACTGAAACCAAAGAAATATGGATTTGATTAGAGTATTTTTTTTGTTTGTTTTTGTTTTTTTGTTTAAAGATCTGGAGTTTTCACTTGAAATTAGAACAAGCCGAAAAGGTCAATTTCCTTGACTTAACATTGTCTTGAAAAAAAGATTCATCAGATAAACAAAAAAGGGGAAACACCTAATGCATATTAACAGGAGCTTCTAATCACCCTCCTTCAGTTTTCAAGCATATTCCAGTATTTCTCTACTCATAGGTCTGTTGGTCAATTTATCTAATAAAAATGTTTCCAATAAGGCTAAAAACTAATTATGAAACAGTATTGATGAAAAGGGCCAATTTAAAAGTAAATAATAAACAGGTCAAGAGAAATAACTGAAAAAAAAAACAAAAAAAAAAAAACACTTTGACCTCCCCAGTCTGCTTTCAATCAGGCAGTGATGACCAAAGTAAAAAAAAATTCTTACTGTGAAGCATTTCTCAGTAACTAGCAACTTACACAAATTGTTTAACAGAAATACCCTAAACCTTAGGTACTGCTGGATGGAGTGTCATATATATATATATATATATATATATATATATATATATATATATATACACACACACAGTGGTGGAAATAAATATAAGACACCCCATGAAATTGCTAATAATTTTCTTATTACTGCACAAATTTCTTCTGAAAATTTGTGTGTGGTACCTAGATCCGATGGGTATTAGTATACATATTCAATTTTATAACAACTTTACACCAAAAAAAAGTTAACAAAACTGTTTTCAAGGGTGGAAATAATTATGACAGTTTTGAAAATTTGCATTTCTGGTTTACATCAGAATGCCAAAGGAAGAATAAGTGCATGTGCAGATTAGAAAAAGACTTATCATGATTTTAAGCCACGTGAGTCCTATTTAAACATTTCATAATTGAATACAGTTACTGAAAAATGCCTAGGAACTCCCCACTTAATAAAAATGAAAAAGGGGCAAATTTCTGCCTGTAAGTTTCTGCCTATAAACTGGAAAGAAAATCTCTTTCAGTGCAAGAGAACTGTCAAGATCCCCAACAGTCATGAGAAATTATATAAAGGACCCTGAATCATATGGCACCAGAAAACATCCAGGTTGTCCACCTAAAATTACAAATGAAGCCAGACATCAACTTTTTCAAGAAGCTTCTAAAGGACAATCAAACTCAAGAGATCTGCAAAAATCACAGAATTTACCCATCACTACAAGAAAAGTTTGTCAACTTCTCCATGAATCACCAAATCTCATGTATCAAAACAGGAAGACAGCTCCTACTTTAACTGTTAAACACAAGAAGATGCACGTGGATTGAGTAAAGAAAAAAGTAACATGGACAAAGGAGAAATGGAAAACCATGCCGTTTTCTCATGAGAAAAAGTTTAATATGGATGGGCCCAATGGCTACCAGTGTTATTGGCATAATTTAAGAAAGGAGAAGCAGCTTTTTTCAAAAAGACCCTTTGGAGGAGGATCTATTATGGTTTGGGGAGCTTTTTCTGTGTCTGGAAAGGCTGATTTAGTAGTGATGGAAGGGAAACAAAACTCTGCTCGATATATCAATGCATTGGAAAAAAGTCTTGTCCCATTTATGAATCGTCTAGACGCCAATAATGACATTTTTGAACAGGACAATGCAGCCATACACACTTCTAAGCTCACAAAATCATGAAAGATTGATTTAAAACAAAAAAAAATATTGAAGTTTTGGACTGGCCTACTCAGTCTCCAGATTTAAATCCAATAGAAAATTTGTGGGGAATTTTGTCAAGAAGAGTATACAAAAATAAATGTCAATTTGAAGATGGAGAAACTTTAAAATCTTGCATTAAATAGTGTTGGGATGAAATTTTGATCTGAAACTCTCAGAAAACTTATTGATTCAATGCAAAACAGGTGTGTTGAAGTATTACAATTGAAAGGGAATAAATGTAAATATTGAATTTTGTACAATTTTGCTGTTAAATACAAATTTTCAAAACTGTCTTGTGCTTATTTCCACCATCAAAAACATATTTTTCTTAACTTTTTTTGCTGGAAAGTTGTTATAAAATCAAATATGTATACTAATACCATCAGATCTAGGTACCACATACAAATTTTCAGAGGAATTTGTGCAGTAATAAGAAAATTAGCAATTTCATGGGGTTTCTTATACCCCATGAAATTATATAGTTTCCACTACTATACTATGTGTGTGTATATATATATATATATATATATATATATATATATATATATATATATATATAATATGAGTGATCAGATTGAGTATATTGAGGGTACATGTATGCGGTGCAAGATTTGGAAGAGATGCTTGCAGGAGAATTTGTGCATCCTGGAAGTTGGTAAAAATAAAACAAAAAAAAAAAAATCTTTCATTAAGTGTCAGTGTCAACAGACTTGCAGATTAATGGTTGGCTGACTGAAGAAAATTATCTACCTGGGCTGAGGTGTGTGATTATTTAGGTTAGTGATTTCATGACAGACGCCAACATATTTGGGTGAAACTTTTAGTAGTACTTTTATTATGTACTTTCATTGTGGGATTTTGATACTAAACAGTAATTCTACTGTTCGGTGGGCATTGAGCATTTTCACTTTATCAGCAATGCTGTTTAAAGTCAATTTACCATTGCTTATGTATGTCAGTAGTTTTGCTGCTTACAATTGCTAATCTTATTAGAGTAGCATTATTATCCTTCTTGTGTGTGCGTGTGTACAAGAGAGTATGCTCCAAGGCAGAATTGCTGTTCATGTGTAAATAGTTGTTGTTTTTTGGGGTTTTTTTTTAATAGCACATCCTTTCAAGATGTGAGCCATCATGGATCTCCCCAGCTTCTTTTACATTAATATCTGTGACCTGTGATGACTGTTCTTGAAATAGATAGTTTAATGATCTCTGGTTGTTTTCTCTCTAATTTTCAATTCAGAGTTGTTCTTCTCCTAGACTGGTTGTCAACCATGGCTAGAGAGCCCAGTCTGTTCTGTTTATTTAAACCCTAGCTATGGGAGAAGTGGTGGTGTCATCCCTTTCCCAATGGCATTAGTGTAAAATGAATACCACTACCACGGCTATAATTTGATTTAATCAACGTTGCAATAAAAAAACAAAAAAGAAGAAATATCACATTTAAAAAAATTCATTTATAGCTCAAAATTTTTTTTTTTTTTTTTTTTTTTTTTTTTTTTTTTTATTTTTGGAGTGGATGGGAGTCTATTTGAAGTTCTATAAAAATAAAAAAGTGAGAGTCAATGAGATAATTTCTTATGATTTTCAGCCTAAATTGGATGTGATGTAAAAATGCCTTGATACATTAAACCAAAAAAATCAAATGTTTTAGTCTTAAAAAAAAAAATTCCAGACATCAATTAAATCCAATAAAACAACAAATTCCATTTATAGAATTAAAAAATTACAAATTTAAATTCCTCAATGTTTTCGTAGTTCTACTCC